CACATAAACGAGTATACAGCTACTCATAGGCCCTTGTTAAATCCCCTCGAAGTTTCTCACTGAGAAGAATTGACTGAGAAGGACAAGACCATAAGACAATGAGGAGCACCAGTGCAAACGAGTCAACCCACAACTGCCTGCTTCAGAGAAGTAATAGGTGTTGGGTCCTGATGCAGAAGAGCCTGGGGCTTTCATGTTACAGGAGAGAAGAGGAAAGGAGAAGTTTGGAGAAATAACAAAGACCTGTGGGAGGGACTGAGACCTCCACAGCCTGACCCCAGGCAGGGCACTGGGCAGCAGAGTGCTGCTGTCACTGCACATGGGGATCCATGATTATGCTGCATGAAAATAACATTTGACAAATCCCCTTTTACCCCTGGGTGCAGAGGGGAGGAAAAGTTTCTCTCTATTCCAACAGTTTCAGTTTTCTTTTTTTGCCAAATAAAACTGCAAGCATTTATGGCTTTATTTTTATGTTCTTGTTGGTTTTGGCAAAAACGGGAACATGAACTGACCAGAAATAGACACACTGCATACTTTGTAGCTTCTCATGCCCAAGATGAACAAAACACACTAGGCAAACAAAAAGAATTTACAGTGGTAAAGGTAAACATCCTTCTCATTTTTGTTTTTAAGACCTGTCAGAAGCAGAGGTGAGGAAATCTATTTGTTTAAAAAACATGAGTTTTGAAATGACCACAGTGTTCCCTTTAAACTGCACTGAAATACAAGATAAAGACAGGGTAGAGAGTGAAAGAGTGCTGATGGCGCTTTTATTGTGTGATTTGCCTTGTTTTTTTTCTGGAGTACTTCTTTTTAGCCAATTACCATGTATTTACAGTTAGTGTAATTATATCTAATTACTTAATTAGCATGAATACATGTAATTACTAACTTTGAATATGTAATTATGTCAGGGCAGCCTGTAATAAATGAGGTTGAAAAAAAGCCCTCATTAGGACGCTACGGAAGGACGGCTGCTCCACCCGTGTGGAGAATGCATCCCAGTCCCCAGGCTGTGCCAGTCCTGGAAGAGGAAAACACAGCCAGCTCCGGCCGTGTCTGGCAAAAACCTCCACCAAAATCAAACCAATTGCTCCAAAAAAATGTAGTTTCACAGTGCTTGAGAGGTCCGAGCATCCACTGTAGGGAAGCAGACAGGGATCTGCAAAGGATCTCCCCACCCCGGCTTCATTTTCTCCACTGAGGTTTAGGTTTTCTTCTCTATTTTTTGGGGTGAAATATATAAGGGAACAGAACAACTCCAAAACCATGTGGCATTTGAGTAAAGCTGGAGAGATCACATCCAAGAACTAATCTGCATCTGATGCATTGTGCTTATAATTAATAACTACTTAATTACTACTATTAAAGTAAAACAACCTTCCAAAATGTTTCTTCTGAAACTTTACCAGTCTTTCACTGCAGAAATGTCCAGCTACTGATAAGTACAAAACTGGAATTTTGCAAATTCAAATCCCGAACATTAGGAGATGGAGTTAAGGTAAGAAGTTGCAGTTACTGCCAAACCTGCCCAGAAACCATCTTCTGGACACAGATGAGTGTAGGCTGGATCATGTTTTGCATTACTTTCAACCTGACCACAGGTTGAAGCCATGTGGTTCTACACCCTATCTTCTCGTCACATATTCTGTCCACCGTGCTTGCCACAACAAGTCCTGTTTTTCTTCTCTCATCTGTTTTACTTCCAAATATAGAGAGGTGCAAACTCATCACAACCTACCACTCCTCCTGGTGACATCTGCTAAGCAGATATGCCACTTGGTTTCTCTTCCACGTGCAAAAGATCAGGAGAAAAAAAAAACCTGTTTTAGCTTATTCTTCTGAAATTGATTTGTGGTGGGACTGTCCCCATTGCTAACCCTCCAGGTAGGGCTGGGGTGTCTGAAAGAAAGATTGGTTGCAATCTAGTGCTGCTCAGCATGCCATGGAGATAGAGTGCGAAGATGGTGGGGGCATCTTCTCTGAGACTTCATCACGAGGAAACTGGGTGGTGCAGTTTCTCCCATGGCTTTTGGAGAAGCCCTCAGCCAGGAAGGGAAGGAGGACCCTGAGCCACAGTCCCTGCTACTTCTCTATACCGGGCAGCAGCAGAAAAGGGGTAAAGAGACAACTGCAAGAATCCCAGAAAGTCAGGTGAGAGTTGGCTCCTGTGCCCTTCATCCCATCAATGTGAGGACAGCACATCCCCAGTAAGGAACACGTTTCTATCTCTTTAAGGACATGTTAACAAGAATTGCCCGTAGGACAGCATTGCACAGTGGGAGAGAGAGGGGTTGCAGCTCCATGGTCAGGGAGCTGCTTTCCATATTTCAGCTGCAATTCCATTATGCAGAGCTAAGTGGCTGGGAATAAACACCTGTCATCCCTGCGTGATAAGCGATGTTTGCTAGTATAGAGGGTGACAGAAATCTATATCACATCAATGTACTATTAATACTGCATTAAGCATATAGAGTTTGCTCTCCTCATTGCAGTGCAGTAATGGGTATCGGCATGTCCTCAACCCAGACAACATCCAAGAGCACAGGGATGCTTGTGGGAGAAAGGAAGGAGAAAAGCTTCATGATGGAGAGAGATTGCTTGCTGAAGACGTTGCTTTAGCAGCACCTCAGTGTATAGGGGAGATGCTGGTTGCTTTGGAGTACCTTTGCTCACAGCTGGACAGCAAAGGGAGGTGGGTGGCAGAAGAGATGACAGCTTGCATCAGTACAAGCTCAGCTGGGAATCAAAGCACTCCCCAGCCCAGAGGAGTTCTGTCTACAACTGACAGCAAATGAAGAAGTGTTTGTGCTCAGGCTCTGCACAGAGGGAAAGAAAAACCCTCTGTCATAAAAACCATGGGGAGAATGGGAGCAACAAATACTGTCCAGCTCAGGTTTAAGTTGGGCAGAGCACATCAGATCAAACAAACCCCTCAGAGCAAAAGTTCCCCAAAGCATGGTTAATTTAAAAGGTGAACTGTGAAACTTTCCAGCCTCAAGCAAAGCCACCATTGAAGTCAGAAGTTTCCTTCAAGTGGAGTACAGGGGACTAAACTACAAAACACACACCAAATCCAACCCTGCCTGAGGTCTCAAAGCCTGGGTTTTGCCCCATAAATGACAAGTCTGAAAAATACAAGGGCTTTCATCCTGCCAGCATCCAGCTGTGGTTTGCCTTTAGTTAAGCACCCAAAGGGAGTGTCTGTGTGTGGGGTTTGGTTTCAGCTCTGGGAAACCTGGATCTCAGAGGTGGCGATTTGCGTGGATTTCCAAGTGTGCACACTTGTCACCAGTGCTGCTTTTCCCCCCACTGCAGCACCTTCCATGCAGGAGAAGCGGTTCCAGATGCCACCCCCAAGCACCCCTGTGAACTCTTCAGATCCTAACCAAATAGCATGAAACTCTGAGGCCAAATCCTGCTGCAAGTAACTTCTCCAACCCACCCACCACTGACAAGCCCCACAGGACAAACGCTCACAGCAAAACTTAATCCTTTGAGGTTTAAGCTCTGCTACTGCACAGCTGCAGCAGCACCTCCTCTTGCAATGGTCGGCGCACAGATTAAAGAGATTCAAGAAAGCGCAGGAGGGGAAGGCAAAAAATAAAGAGGGGGAGCCCCTCCTCCCAAGCCACCAGAGATTGTAAATCATTCTGAGATGAGGTGCTATAAGAAATATAAAATACATAATTAATGGCACAGAAAAAACATCCTATGTTCAGCTTCTCCACTCTTGCCTAATCACCGCCGCTCTCTTCCCTTCTCTACAAACAGACCAGATTTAGCACGTTAAGACAAAAATCAAAGGCAAAGCTGGGTACTCCCCATCACTGCCAAGTGAAGAGCAGTGATAATGGCCCAGGCGCCAGCACACAGCACCCAGGAGGGTGCACAGCAGGGTCCACAGAAGCAGGGGAGATCAGCTTCCTCCCTGTCTCCAGGAGCTGAGTTACGTCTCCTGCCCTCATGGACCAGCAGCACCCAAGGGGAGAGCAGAGGTGACTTCAGTGCAGCACTCCCTGCCTCCGGCTGGGCCACAGTGACAGCACAGGTTAGGTTTTTCCTGCTTTTTTTGCCAGCTTTTTATTTTTCCAGTTCTACCTGGAACTAAGACACACCAGACGTATGAGCAATAGCAGGAGAGGAACATCACCAGACCTCCTGCATTGCTCAGCTTGCATCTCAGAGCTGGTAAGAGGCCTGGGAGAACTCAACTGCTTGCTGCAAACTGCGTGTCAGGGATCGCTGCATCTCACCACTTGCATGGCAAGCGGTGTGTGACTCCCACAAAAGCATCCTTTTATCCATCACATTCCTTTTATGCTCAGAATTTAGGAATACAAAACAGAGAGGACCGCTTGGTCACCACCTGCTAGTCTAATGAACCCAGTTCACAACCCAGATTTATACAGGAAAGATGCAAAAGCTTTACAGAAGCCCACGATAACAAGACATCCAGCATCTAAGCCTCGTGGCTTTTATCTCCATGCATCTGCCCCACCTATTGCCACATGTCCTGAGCTTCTCCCTGGCTCAGTGGAGAGCCAAGGAGGCAGCACAATGGCTGGGAAACTGCTGGAGGAGGAAGGGGAGGCAGGTCCTTTTCCCAGCCAGGCAGGAGTCATGTCCATCCCTGCACTCCCAGGCTGCTCTTGCTCATGCCTGAGACCTCACTCTGGGAGCCGATGAGGCAAAACCCGGCTTTGAATGGCACTTTCAGGCAAGGGGGAAGGTGACTGGTGGGTGGCGGAGGGAAGGTGAAGGGAGGTGAAGGTGAGAGTGGAAAGTCTTCTCTGGAAGCACCTACATGTATGTTGTGATTTCTGAGACCTGAGATTCACTTTGGTTTCTGGACCATACCAAGACCCACTCTCCTCAAAAACCTCCTTCTCTTCTTTCCTCATCCCCTTAACCTCTTCCTCCTCGCCTTCCTTCCCCTGTTCCCCCAACCCATCCCCTGATCCTTGCAGGGGGCTCTGGCCGGATCGGGCACTCACACGTGTCTGGCTTGTGGCAGTTGTGACCTTGTCGGAAATACTGGGGGTTCTCGATGACGGGAATGCGGGTCATGCCGATCACCACCGTGTCCGGGCCAGCATCCAGGGACGAGGGTGTCGTGATGCCGTGGTTGATGTGGTGGAGGGGACTGGCTGAATCCTCCTCTCCGCTGATCACTGCCACAGGACCTGCAAAGACCATGCACATTCGTCAGACACAACACGGGAAAGAGGAAAGGGGACCCACAAGACCTGATGACCATGTCACCACCAGCCCCTGGACAGGATGCCTGTCCTAGTGCTCCTGGCAGTTGTCCCATCCCCAGTGCTAGTTTTCCCAAGCAGCTTTTAGGGCAGGGAGACATCTCAAGTTTTCTTTCCTGGTTTTGGAGTACCAGGCTAACAATCCTGCAGGAGATAAAGTAGCACCAGGTGACACCACATTAGAGGCGAGTCCTGCACTAAGTCCTCTCCTAGCTGTCATAAGATGCATCAGTCACTGTGGTGCCTGTTTACCCTGTCATCATAATCTTAGCAGAATATATAACTGAGCTTAAACTGGAGAAATATCATCCCCAAAGAAGATCTGTTTCATCCCAAACCCATATTCACACTATTTCTCTTGCCCAATGTGTTGTCCATCTTGTCTCCCCTCCTCCGGTTTCACCCAGGCAAAGAGCTATTTCACAATACACCAGTTTTTTTGGCTTATGCTTTTATTTATTTTTAGACCTAACATTAGCCTTTACTATGAACTGCCAAGGCTGGAAACCTCAGGGGACATCAGGCCTTAATACAATATTTACCACTTCCATCTATTCTCACCTGCCCTGTGATCTGACCTGCACGCCAACATCACAAACACCTCCATCATGAGGTGAAACCCTCTAAGCCATGCTGCAGCCATTCATGCTGCATAAACACAGGAACCTGGGGACTGCACTGCAACTTTCCATGAGGACCTCCCTTATATATACACACAGGGAGAAAAACTACACTCAACTAGAGATGCTCATTTTCTCCTGTCTGGATGCTACTATAAGCTCAAGCCAAAACAAGCAGAGATGCTGCACTGAGCCTTCAAACCTGTTCAGAGAGGCCATTCTTTTACCTGCACTGCATAGAAAATGCCTCTCTCCCATCAGTAATATACTTCTAATTGCACAATTACTTTATTATATATCAGTAGCAACAAAGAGGGGAGTCTTCAAGCCATTTTACTCTCTGGAGCTTCTGGGATGACGGGGTGAACACTGGCTCCGTGCAGTCATTCTGCCTGCATTAATCTAGTCTAAAGGCTGCTCATTTTTACAGCTTCAAGTATTGTTTGTTATTCCAAGTGGGATATAATAAAGTTATTGTCTAATCAGCAGAGTCCTGGCAGCCATAACAGGTGCTTTAGCCGCCAGGAAAAAAAGCCTTTTCCTTTATTGTGAATTCCTTCTGGCAGGTTCTGGCTTTTTTTGACGTTGCTCCCCGAGCCCATGTGCCTTCCAGCTTTTGAGAGGCAAAGGCAAAACTCAGCTCTTGCCGCAAGATGCCTCTGTTGGGACTTCACACGCTGTATTTCTCCAAATACAGAAAGCAAACAGGCAATTTCGGTTTGAATGACTGTTGTTCTTTTGCAAGTCAATTCTGTGCATGCAAACCACGAGGACTGCGTTTTGCATGGTGCACGTGTTCCTTTGGCTGGCTGTGGTGGGAAGGGGAGACCTCTGCATTTCAAGGTGCAGTTCACAAACCAAACCAGAACTGGTATAGACTGGCATAAATAATTTGAGAACAGACCATAAAATCTCCCTTGCAGCGGAGCGGTGGAAGGGGCTATTGAGGGATTATTACTCTCCCTAAGCAGACAAGATGTTGCTTCAAAGGAAGGTACCTAATATCAGGCAGTGGGATGTGAAAGGCCTGTCTAGTAAACGAAGTGAAGGAAGTCTTCATTGTCTTCTGCTCTGAAAGCAGAAATCACACCTTTGTGGCAAGAAGTAAAGAGGACACCTCCTATAGCATTAGTACTGGAAGGAGATGGCTAGTTTCAGAACCAATCATGGGACATAAGCTAGGCTGGCATAGACCCTGCTGGGAATGCTTGGCGTTAAAATGCCCTGCCAGCACTTAACCCTTAAACAGCTCCTCCTCGTTTTTAAGGAATACAGATCATGGCACTATCCCTCTGGTACAAGCAGGTTAGAAGGATATGGTTACATCTAAAAAAGTAGGGAATGATCAAGGAGTTGGGTACTTGTGAAACTAAACATCGCTTGTCCAATGTTCTGATAGCAATTTCCTTGCCAATAAACAGACCTGGAGTCTGACTTTCTTTACACTCCACAGGTTTTTTCCTGCAGCTCACTTCTTAGGAGGACTTTCTACATGTGTCAAGCCTAGTTTCACACCCCAAACCTGTCTAAGATCTACGCAGTAAAAGGGAACCTTGTCTCAGCTGACCAACAGTTGCACTCTCATTCCCCAGCAAAGACTGGGTCCTGTGAATGGCCTCAACCTCTTAGTCTTCCAGCTCAAGGTGATCCTGCCAAGCTTGGCCATTTACAACATCTACCAATCCTCAATAGCCTCAGAGCTGAACTTGAACGCTCCATCACCATCTCAACCCCTTTCCACTTCTGCTAAAGTGGGAAATGCCAAGAATGGCCAGGGCAGTTTCAGTCCTGACACACACCTGAGACTCAGGCCAATGTTTGGACTCACTATGCAAGCCTGAGACAGACTCCTAAAAGTCATTGATATCAAGCAGTCACCGATCACTTTTATAGGTTTGACTGTTGCTCTGACACTTAAAATATATACTGCCATGAGTAACTCCTGGAAATAAAGCAGCTATCTAGACTTCAACTTTTTTAATCTGTCTTGGCATTAGCATATATTTTTTGCTGTTAAGTAGGTAAAGAGGTTGAGTTTTCTGATGTATAATGCTAATGAATGGCTTTATTTGGAAGAATTCTCAGAGACTTCAGCTATGCATTTTCCAGGCAAGGTTAAAGGAACAAATGCAGTAAAAACAGAGTGCAGATTTTAAGACTTAGTTTTACATTCCACTTGACAGAGAAATGGGAAGAGGGACACAGAAAAGAAGTCAGTTTTGTACTGTAAAAACGCAGAATAGTCATCAAGGTAGCCTGGGGTAACTCTGATAGACCATCCTATGGTCTTAAAACACAGTATGAAGTGTTTTGGAGCTCCTCTGAAGCCTAAAATCTAAACAGTGATGCAGTAGCTGATTTTGTTAATAACTCAGCCTGTGTTATGGACAAACATACTGAGGATATTAATCATAAAAAGTCTATTTGTTAATACTTTAAGAAGCTGTTGCATGTGCTGAGCATTGAACGTCTATACCCTGAAAGGCTTTCAATGCCTCTCCTTCTATCCAAGCAGGGGCCTCACCAGCCAGCAGCATCCACACTGTCTGCAAGGACAGAGTTTAGCTGCTCTCCATGCTAACCCCACACATCTTTCCTGCCAGGGAAGCAATGTCAGCAGCCGCAATGGAGCCACAAAACCATAGGGAAAGGCTGAGGAGAAGACATTAAGGCTGCCAAGGGCTATGCCTCGGTGAAAAGATGGTCAGCCCCTGTTCCAGCCCATCATTAACAGCCACTGCCAACATTTCCCTTTGCAACACCAGTGGGAGAGTCAACCACAACAACCAGAAAATGAGGATCAAAATGAATCTGATGTTAACCAAAGAGCAGTAAAGCAGCCTGAAAATGTTGCTTTGGAAACATCACAAAGAGCAATGCTCTTCTCCCTCTCCTCCCACATCTCCTCTACAGCCAACTCCTCTTTCCCAAGGAAGACCCCCATACAAACACCACCTATCCCAACTTCATCTTCACCTTCTTTTCTCCCCAGCCTCCCAGTCAGCCTATCCATTCATCCGTCCTTCTCAGCAATGTTCCAGATCTTCTACAATTAAGATTATAATATCAAGATAATATCCACCCTGATATTGTCACCTTTGCAAATACTCTTCTAGATTGCCCCAAAATCTCTGCTTTTCAGAAAATTGTTCTCTATTCAACACTCTTCCCTGTAAGTAAACTGGAGTTTGGCTTGGTGTTTGTCCCCATCTCCATGTTTATCTGGAAGCTCTATGAAATAGGATATACCTTTTAGTCCATGTCTGTGGATCGCCTGGTTTGTTCATAGTGTTACATGGACAGCTTGTTACTTAAGAAAAATAAAGCAAATAGTAATAAATAGCTTAGGGATCCCCTGTTTACATGATCATATCATAATGGAAAATTATTTATCAAGGCTAAGAGCTATACTTTCTGATAAAACATAGGCTCAGGAATATAGGGTACTTATAAATAACCACAGATTTGAGAAGATAATGGTCACTTCACAGACATTCATAACATAATGAATGCTCCAAGGCAGACAGGTGAAGAAACAACAAAAACTCCAGCTTGCTATCACAGTAACCTCTCCAAAGCAACAAAAGCGATCGAAAGTGTAGAAACCATGACCTCCAAAGAAAAACTGAAAGAACTATGCTTTGTGTTGAGAGGAGAAGACTGCAGGGACACATGATAACAGCCTTCAAATATGTAAAAGGTTGCAGCAAAGAGAAATATAATAGCTGTTCTCCATGTCTGCTGGGGATAAAAGAAGAAATAATAGGTTTAAATTGCACTGAGGGAGATTAGGTTTTGAATGTTTTCCCCAATGCCTAGCAGTACAGATGGCTGAGCACTGGAACAGATAACCCAGGAATGCTGCAGGGGCTCAACCACTGGGAAGGGAAAGGTTAAAGAAACTTTCTTCAAGGACAGTTTAGCACTGCTCAGAGTCCTCCTGGGCTGCAGCACTTTCCTCCTGCCACCAAACAAGCCTCTGCAAGGAGTGCTCATCCTTTTTTGATGCTTTCAAAGAGACCCCAAGCAGGGACTTTGCCAGTGCTGCAGGCCAGGTTTGGGCAGCATCTGAGGCACCACGGGTGTAGGACTGGACCAGGATGGAGCTGCAGTCCCTCCAATATGGTTTCAGAAAGGATAACTCCAGCCACATCCCAGGCCACATGCTCAGGACAGAAAATGAGTTTGCTGAAGCAGACAGTGATGAGCACTCAGGGTTCCAGGGCAATCCCCCTCTCAGTCCACATCCCTCCAGGAACTGTGGCTCAAAACATCATTTCGTGATCAAAAATGATCACTGCAAGA